GCTAACCTGATCCTCAGCTCAAGTCTCATTACAAAAAAAAAGAAAAACTTTATTTCAGAAACTTTTATTTCAACTGTATTCATTGAGAGAAAAGTGATCCAAAGTCCCTTGTGTGCAAAAACTTGACAATTCTTGAAGCGTCGGAGGCAGAAGCTCAATACCCAGCTGCCTTTTCTGCCTCCACAACTTTCTCATTAAGGTTCTTCTCCGACTGTCACCACAAAACTCACCTGCTCTCCCTCCAATTCGAGCTCAAGAGTTCAGCTGCCAGCAGCTACAGCAGCCATCTTGGATACCCTGCCTCCACTTCCTCTAACAAACAGGAAGAAAACAAGACAGAACAAAAACTATTGTATCTAAGTAGTTATCTGATTTTTACATGAGGAGAAAAACTCAGAAATATTTCTTTAATTTAAAATTATTTAAAGCCTCAAAGGGAGGATTGGATTTCTGACCTTCAAGCTTTTATTGGATGCACTTCATAAAGCTATGATGTCCACCGAAGGCAGTGATTGGCAACTAAAGATATTAGTATTTTACAGTGGAAAAACCAAAATCTGAAGTTTTTTTTTTTATTATTGTTTTAGGCACATATTTAATTAATACATGTCCAAGGCATTTTGCATGGCCCTTATACAAGGTAAAATTTTTCCCATTGGGTTAGCTTGCAATCACAACCTACAATAAATTTTTCTGTATATGCCAAAACAAGATTATTTAATAATGTGAATTGGAACGAAAAAAATCTATCCAATTTTTAAAGATAATAACCTGCATTTTAAAAGATACAAATTTTGGAACCATGTTTCTCTGCCAGCATCGCACACCTATTAACTTGTAGCCTATTCATCTTGGCAAAACAACTTAAGGCCGCCACAATTTGATGAAGGTTCTGACTTTGACTGAGCCATTGTATCGCTGGCTGCAGCCCCTTGCAGCTTTTCTTCTGTGTTTGTCCTGCATTTAACTCCACCAATCATCTCAAAGCAGCTCCTCTGTCACAGCATGCCCATGTCATGATGGTACCAACCCCATGTCCGCGCCCGAGAGGGAACGCTTATTAAATGCATTCAAGAGCGTGCACGAGCCCATTTCTTCTCGTGCAAGCTCTGTTTAAAAGCTGCTGTTTGCATCGCTCGTACAAGCTTACTTTCCAAAATGGGGACGAGTACGTGGGACGGCATCACGTAAACATATCACTAGAATGATTGACAATTAGGAGTACCACTTATTTTGATGATCCACCTGGAAAAAGCACATCCTCCACTATACCTTTAAAACAACTTCTGGATGTGGTGCATGTTTGCTATTTACTAACATGTTCTGACTTTATATTTTATTGACACATTCCAGGATTACTAATGAGATAACTTCTGATGCTGTATTTTAGTTAAAGGTACTGTTTTTCAGATTTTCATTTTTATTTTCATGTTTAAAAACACTGATGTTTGGTTTTGATTTAATGTGATGAAAATGTGAGGCTGTTATAAATTGGATTTTTGCAGGGCACTGTAGATGCTCTCTATCAGTCTGTGAAAGCATTCAGCTCTAATGTACGTCAGATTTAAAGAAAGAATTTGTTCTGGTTAATCTAAAAATGTTCAGCCTTGGAGTTTGCCGTTGATTAGAGTGCGGTGTCGAGCTGCGTAAAATCATGTGACCCGGTCACATGGCGCTGTCGGGATCAGCTTCGTCAGCGGCGCCTGACCAGGATCCAGTCGAGGCCCCCTGGTTGACCACAGTCCTGCGGCTGTCTGGGTCGGTGCCTCGTGTGGAACAACTTGGACTGTCGGTCCAGGTTCTAAATGAAGGGCTGCGGGACCCAAAATTGGGGGTCTCGTTTTCTTCTATCCATCTCTGGTGGGATGGCTGAAGTGGCTTTAAATGAACCTGAGGTTTGTGGTGGCACACAGTGAGCAGCGTTTTCCCAGGGTCTCTATACTCAGCTGTTCTTTGACTTATTCTGCACTTCTTTCAGTTTTTTGTTCTTGCTATAAGATGCAGACGGTTTTATAACATTTGTTTAAAAACTCAAGAGCTTTCGGGGGGAGCGCATGTAGATATGAACCAGGTGGATTTGCAGCTACAGGAGCCTTTTCGATTATACTTTTAACTGGATTTATTTGGGTTGGGAACACAGGAGTTTTTGGATCAAATCAGTTGTGATTTACAGGTCCTGGAAGTCTAAGACATCTGGGAACATTTGGGCATGAGTCTTTCCACTGTGCAAACACTGAAGTGTCTCCAGCTCTGATATTCATTCGTCACTCAGCTTACACAAATAATCTGTTGAAGTTCATGATCAAACCTTTAAATGCTCTTAAATCTCCATACCGCTGCAAGTATAAAAACCTCTACATGTGTAAATAGAGGTGTAAAGTTTACCTATCCGTGGGCATTCTTCAAAAAGATTACCCTCATCTGAAATAGCTCTTTGCACAAAGATGGGTTGAGAGGGCCCCCCCTGACTGCGCAGCGCCACTGAATGAGAGCTTCTAAAGATGATAAAGGATGGCCTTCAAGTGTATGCACTGACCTTTCCTGATGAAAGGAGTCCAAAAATGCTATTTTAACAATATCATGATGCCCTTTCAATATGAAAGGCAGCATAAGCAACTCTCTCAACCAATGGAAGTTGAAAGGACACCCCGGCGGCAGAGGAACGAGGTTTGCAAGAGGTGTGTGAAGATAAGAGTCAGCAGGTGAGTGAACCTATAAAGCCAAGCCTATAAATGACTTCATGTAAAGTTTTTTCATAGGATTCTACTTTTGCTTTAGTCATGAGTGGATAATTTGATATTGGACAAACTGATGTTTCTATAACCAGGGACAGGAAAACTGTGATTTGTATTCTTTCTAATGCAATAGATTAAAAAGGTTTTAATCTTTTTTTTTTGTTCCATTTATCCTCACCAATTGATACTTTAGCCAATTACTCATCTTATCATTTAGTGGTGCACTTGAGTTCTGCCACTCTAGCTTCATAACTGTTGCCAAATCAGCAAATTCCAAGATTAACCTTCAGTTAGCATTAGCAACCATTCAACCCACCTGTTCAGAAGAGGCAACTCATGTGAAACTAATTTACTATTCCTTTAGTAATCAGAATTTTTCAGACCCATCAAAGTCTTTAAAGCCCTTATTTATATACTATATATAAGCATATATATTTCACAATTAAAAACACAATCCGGCAATTTTTAATCTATCCATTAGGAAGGATAACAATTTTTGTTTTAGGCTGCTAATACAGCATAAACATTTGTCACATTTAAAATCATGATTTGAAACAAAAAATCTAAAACGTTTTCATTTATAAAAGCACGTTTTTAGACAGTTAAGAGCTCCAAGTCACCCAACCAAAGTCTCACATTTAAGAGATGAAGATGTTGACCTGCTTTGTAGAAAAGTTCCATCTTCGTAAGAATGGATGGAGAGCATTGCAGAGCACCGATTTAAATATTTAGCCATCGATTCTTAATTGGATTCATGGTTCAGCCATTCTAGCACATAAATATGTCTGAATCAGTCCAACGTTCCCACTGACCATTCAGGCTTTCAAAAAACATTTTAGAGACTGAGGTGGACTTGGTTTTCTTCAAGTCATTTAATTGGTGGTTTGGATTTTATTTAGGAGCACAAAAATATGTGTTTAATACAATCCAAAGTTTTCAGATCTTTATAAAAAAAAAAAAAAAAAAAAAATCTAATTCAAAATTAAGGACTACTTTGTTGTGATTTTAACTTTAAATCTTAAGTTGCATAGTTGTAAAAGAATCAAGGAGTAGGACCAATCTGCCATGTCACTGTCCTCTCTCTATTATCAATACTGCTGTGGGTGGAATCATGGAATCACACCCAGAGGGTGTGACTGGCTGATTAAACAGGTAGATTCCTTCTTTAAGTTTTTAATCATTCATACCGTGACTTGGTTGAGATTAAGGCAATTTAACATACCTTTATGTGCTTCTCATTGTTCAAATTAATTCATTTAACTAGTTTAATCCAGTTTGCAGAGAACATCTTAGAGCAGAGACGGGAAATGTGGAGTCAACAAATCATCTCCATGTCATGTATTTAATCTACCCAGCTAATTAACCAGGTGAGTCTAATCTGCACAGGTTGATCCACGGTGAAGATTGGACTCACCTGCTTCAGTGGGTGGGTAGATCAAATACAGGACATGGAGATGACTTGTTGACTCCACATTGCCTATCTGACTTAGAGCAACAAAAGGACCATGAAAGGAAACATGAGAGCAGCACAATGTTTTAAATATGGACCATCCAATCATAACCTTCCTAACTATTTAAGCTTTTTACCCAAACAGCTGAATATGCCGCATTTTATTGAGCAATATTGTCTCTGTTGGATATTTTCTCTCACTACACTGACTGTCAGATGTCTTTATCTTGCCCCCCCCCCCAAAATGCAAATCTGTCCCACTTTTTATGGGACAGAACTATTTATGTACCGTAATGGAATAAAGAGGCGATGCATTTTCTCTTCTTTTGGATTTAGTTTTTTAAAACCAAATTTTTACCAGAACAAAATAGGCAAGAAAAAAGTTCATGATTTTTAAGTGTTAAGCTCATCAAACAGCAGACTGGTTTTATTACCCATTTATCCAACAAGGGTCTGGGAAAAAAAAAAACGGAATTAAATCTCATTCCTTCGTGGTATTTAAAGAGCCGCAGGAGGCCCAAAGTTTAACCATATAAATAGTCGAGTGAGATGTACTCATGACAAACTGTATAATTACCAAATGTCTCATTAACACACACTTAACTCTCCCTCCTTCTCATCATAAAACACACAGAGGCTCTAGTGGCCAAATTAATGCTGCATGTTTTAATTTCCAGCAGGGAGCGAATTAAGAGCTGATAATGGATGCAAATCTATCGGAAATTTCTCACAGGACCAGACGAGTTGCACCCTGCACAGCGGGCGCGCACACACAAACACACACAAAAAAACAACAATCACAGGAGGCAGCTTGCTAATTTGAAAAATAGAGCATTTTAATAAAGGCTACATCTCTTTATAATTACAATAATTAAAGTACCGAGGCATCTTTTAAATGGAGCTCTATGGAAACGCGTATTTTTCTTTTTTTTTTTTTTTACATTTTACACGTGGAGCTGAAGAAGCCATGAAGAATATCGGAAAACATAGATGTGATGAAACGGATACTAAAAAGGTGTTTAAAAAAAAAAAATCTCTTTTTCTCTAAACATAAAAGGCCCCTTGTAAAAACCAAGGGAGTAAACCAACCCTGAAAACCGGGTGAAACATGGCAACAACCCATGTACGCACAGTTACTGTACACTCGATGAAAACAGCATGAACATAGTGTAAATAACCGCCGCCGTCATCTTCATCTGCAACTCACAGTGCAGAACACACACACACACACACACACACACCAAGGAGCCTATTTTAGAGCTTTCTGTTGGGAAGCATTGGTGTAAACATGTTGGGAGGGGGCTTGAGGAGCCGATCGGAGTAGTTTCCTCTACACAAGCAGGCTTTTTGTGCGATGCCTTTGCCACGGCAACAAAAGGCACTAAGACGTGACTGATCAAGGCTAACCGGACAGAGTCCCAAAGCAGGGAATTAAACATTAATAGCATTTACGCTAGCTTTGTCATTAAGGAGCCCTTCAGAGCAGACGGAGAACTCATCCACTGATAGATCTGCAGCAGTAAATACATGATCAAAGCTCCAGCAACTCGCTGTCCAGAACACAGGAGGGCGTTTTAAACATGAGGCGTTCAAAAAAAGGCTTTCCTTTTGCTCTGAAGGGAGAAATCTTGGAAAACTGGACGTCTCATCAATCCGAGCAACATGTCTCTGGGATATTTCCAATAAATAGTAATAGATATCTATATCTATACAATATACATGTATATCTGCATATACATATTAGTAATGTGCTGGCGAGTGCTTGTGATCTGCACAGGCGGGATTCAGCTGGGTTCTCAGTCTCACATTAAACCCACCGCCCTGCATTGCTGAGTGGTCATTCACCTAGTCTCTAGAAACTTCAGAAACACTTCAGTCCAGCATGGCACGCTCCATGTTGCTCATCCATCCCAGCCGAGTTCCTCTGATAGTCCGGTTATATCCATATGGGCGAACCCTCGGTGCTCCTTCTCCTCAGTCCTTCAGTCTTATCTTAATGAGAGGATATTATCCACAGAGGCAGGAGGAACCCGTAGGAGTATAATTCCATGTTGCTGACGGCAGCAAGGAGTCACTCCATCCGCTCCACCTTCCCCAGGATTTTGCCCTCATACGTGGGCAGCAGGGAGCCATCGTCTGACACCTCCTCGAACACGGCGCCGCACTCAAACTCGTCACTGGCTTTTTTAAAGTAGTACCTGCAGCAAAAAAAAAAAAAAAAACTTTAAGAAAGGAACAATAATTCCAATTTTCCCAGTGTAAATGTTTAGACATTAGGTCAGAGGGGCCATTTTCACTTCAATACCTTTACTCTAAAAGCCCTAAATAAGATAAAGTCTAACTAATGCCCCACAGGAGTCTGTCATTATAAACCCAGCTGCTCTAAGAAGGCTTTAAACGTTCAGAATATTAGTGAAGAAAATGCATTGTGAAGAATAAGGAACCCAGCAGACAGGTCAGGGAGGGAGAAATATGGCTAATCTCCACTATAACGGGGAAATCTGTAGAAAAATCCACCAAATCAGGCATTTAAAGCAAACCAGGAAGAAGATGCACTGGCTGGAAAGGTGCTTAAAAAGGACATTTTGCTGGGTTAAAAAAAATAAGGCACATCCTCCTGAAAACAACCCCCCATGGATAAACACGATGATGGCAGAATCATGCTGTGGGGGGGTTGATTTTATCTAGCAGAAAAGTGGATACTAATGAGACAGTTAAATACATGCAGTCCTAGATGACAGCTTCATTTACGACCTGCCTCTGTAGCTCTACTCAAAGAAAACCATCGAAAACTCAAAATGAGAACAAGTTAGAGAGGTTGCTGCCTGGTTTATTCCTATAGTGATTTAGAGATTTTAAAATCAAACGAGGACGTTAAAATCAAACGAGGACGACGTATCGATGCCTCTCACTGGCAGCTGACAAACAACTTTATGAGTGCAAGATAAAGAAAAAACAAAAATAAGGCCATGACTTCACCGGGATGTAATGATGCAACGCACACACACCTCCTAACTGCTCATTTAAGAGGAAGAGAAAACAGCAGGGGTGAGTTGGTTGGTGGGGTCTGGGAATTCACTCATTAACTATGTAATGGAAAAAACGGACCCAATTTGCCCCATATGTGGGGTCTCTGGAATGTATGAAGTTCTTTTTTTTACGAACATGCCATGCGTACAGGAGAGCATGAGCCCAGATGGTGCAATTAGCACGAGGGTGGCCGCTAATAAAGAGAAGCCCAGGAAGACTTTAAATAAATGGGGCCTGGAGGAAACCAAGTGAACGAGATGCAAAATGGGAGGAAAGAGCCGAGAAAACTGTGACAACCGTTTAGAGGGTACAAAAAAGAGCAAACGTTGATCCCTCCCACTCTGAATGAGAAAAAAAAGGACTTCAAAGAGCTATGATGTTTTCTTGGGGTTTTTTTTTTACTAAGAGACCGAATTTCCACTGGAACATGTTTTATGTGGCTAGATCTTCAACCCCCCCATAACACACACACACACACACCGCTCCACCTTCTCTCTAGTTTGCACTGACATCTGGCACCAATATCGTCTGGCAGGGCCAAGCAGTACTGTTCTTTGTTGAACCGCTGCCATGTTGAAATGACCCAACTCCACACATTCTCTGGCTGCTATTAAAGCACCATGCAGCTCGCTTCCCAAAAACGAAGAAGAAAAAAGGCAGAAGGTATGACACAGGAACTGAGACGATGAGCCGAAGCGGAAAGGAAGATGATCCAAGAGGTAAGCGTTTGTCACATCTGTTAATCCATAAAAAAAAAAAAAAAAGTTCACATCTGGACAGGAAGACGGTTCTTCCCTCCCTCTCAGTTTCACGCCTGTAATTATTAACATGACGCTCGAGCCGTGCCCATTCTAAACATCGTAACAGTATAAACAATAAGTGTTTGATCTTTTTCCTTTAACGCCCACTGGATAAAAGCTATCAAAGTTACTTCTCCCTCTCTTTCTTTAAGCGAACAGATCTGGCATTTAACTATCCGTCTCTCCAAAATATCCATAAAATGATTACAACATGTGTAAACACTGTGCGCATTCAAGCCAACACACATCCCCACGCTCACAGAAGAGCAGCGGGAGGAAGGGGGGGGGGGAGAAAAGGAAAAAGAAAGAGAGGCCCTGATAGCATCAGTGAAGAATTTGCACACTGGCCATTTGTGCGAGTCTTTGTTGGTTGAAATGAAAGAGGCCGAGGCTTCAAAGCCATGTGTATTAAGTGTGCCTTAGCATGGAAATCAATACCAGATGGGACCCAAATCGCTGCAGTTCAAACTCTCCCACTAACCCCTGCGCCGCCCTCCCTCTTGTCTTTTTCCTTTTTTTTTGTTGCACATGCACAAAAGCCAGCCTGACACCAACCGAACAGAAACAAACAGGTCTCAACATCGTAAGGCATTCAGAGATTTAGAGTTTTGCCGTCTTGAATGGACTGCAGTATCCTGGAATAGCCTAAACGCCCCTAAACTCATTTCAATCTGGAGCCAAAACCATACAGTATTTGAGGATTTGATGGAATAAAACCAAAAAGCTCGATATGGTGGTAACTAAGATGGCCTATTGCTCTGAGCACAACATCCTCACATGTAGACAAAGAGGTGACAGTATTATGCTGTGGGAATACTGTTCATCTAATGAAAAAAATCATCCAAAACTAGCATTGATTAGAAAGTTAGGAATGTTTAAGACTGGCCTAGTCAAAGGCCTAGTCAAAAAGCTCGCTAAAGCTTTTAAATCAGAAATAAGCTAAGCCTTAAAAAAGTGCAATAAAACAAAGTTTGTGGTTTAAATGTGAGGATAATCTTAAAACTCTCAAGAGGTAAATGGCAGCCAATAGTTCTCCTGCATCATCCTTTTAGATCCAAAACAATTATAATCCTTCAACGCACCTATAGTTGCCTTTTTTACGGAGCTGCTCCTTAAAGTGACCCAAGGTGAGGCTGTGACTCTTCATGGTTCTCCGGTAAGGGATCTCCTCGCCACAGAAGAAATAAGTCACCACCGTCTCTCCGCTGCTCCCTGCGTGGCCTCCCAAGCCCTTCTTACACCTGTCAGGACACAAAGACCAAAAGAAACTTAGTGAGAGGAGACATGGACACAGGTGGAGCATAATACAGTGATGAAAAGAGGAGCAGGAAATCCAGCAAAAGGCGTGTAATCATGTAGCAGCTGACTATGCAAGCCTAGAAATAGGACGGCTGTCAGTGAATGTGGGAGTCAGAGAAGAAGCACAGCGTTATCAATTCTCCTTCAGCTGGGTCCAAGGCTTTGTAGGCCGACTTCAGAGGAGCTCCCTCTGAACTAAGCTCTGCTCGCTGCAGCGAGCTGCCAGCTCACTGAAGGACAGCCAATATTAATGATACAAATATATATCAGCATGAAAAGGAAGCGGCAGTCAGGTGGTGCAGTGACAACATCCTCCACAGTCGCAGCACCAACATGACACTGGTGCAAACACAGAGGAGGTCTGTATGCAAAGCTCAAAATAGCCTGCCTCCCTTTTCGGGTTGGTGTAAGATTATATGTGTGTGTCGTTCTCTGAGCACGCACATTTAGCAGTGCAGGTGTCAAAGAGGAAGAGTTAAAAGGGTCTAAGTACACTGGAAGTTGGACGTTATAGCTCAGAGCAGGAGGAGGAGGAGGAGCAGAGAGGAGAAGAGGAGAAGGAGGGCAGGACGCTAGAGGCATCGTACTCTTCTGATTGGAGACCAGGGCTGGTGGTTATCAGGCCAGAGGGGCCGGGACTGGTGAGGGCAGAACCCCCAGCGTGGACTGTAACTTGGTGGGTCTTCTCTCGCTGAACGCTGGGCAACGAATGCCTGAAAATTAGCAGAAACATAGAACAGATGTTAGTCTACTTGATGAGACGGCCCTATATGAAAAACAGAGTTTAAGAGAACAAGGATGTGCCTGAAAGTCCACCCTAACCACTATATTAGGCACTTTCTAGGTGTTATGCCATTTTAGATGACTGTCTAGTGGATGAGTGATAAATCGTGGATTGCTTTCTGAGGACAGCTCTCCTCAGAAAGCAATATAGGACTTTTTGTCACAGCAGCGACAAATAAAGATGGCAGAGGCTCCATGCAGGGAGGCAAACTCACTTAACCAAAAGAGAGTGAAAAGTAGTGATTATCTGTCCAAATGCTCAGTTAACTGTACAGTCCCCGCTCTATATAGTGATTGATGGGCTTGGGGTGCAAATTCAGACACAGCCCTAAAGTTTTTTAAAGGGCCGGACGCGTCTGTACCTTTGTTTGGGGGGCTTGAAGGACACCTCCTCCAGTCTGCGGCAGGCCTCTTCTAGCTGGGATAAAGTGTTGGGAGGAGGCAGAGGGGGCATAGCGGGGTCTTGGATGAAGGGCTGAGCTGGTTGGTGGTTACGTAGGTGGCCACAGCTTCCTCCGCCGCCCCACGTGTGCGTCTGTGTCGAAGAGCCTCCGAACTTTTTGGCACTCTGGTTACTGCAGGACAGAGGAAATTTTTATTAGCCGAAAGAAATGTGTAGGAGATAAAAATGGGGACATTTTAAACAATCGAACATCCACTAACCTGTGAGACTTGTGCCTGCTTTGGCGTTTACTCTCCAGGATCCACTGAAGCACGTTCTGGGTAGGGTCTGTCGTGTCTGTGGGCAGCTGTAGGATGCCACAGTCCTCTGTGCATCCGTCAGCGACCCCGTCCTCAGAACCTGAGAGACAGATGCGTCTCGATAGGGAGCTGGAGCGCCTGGAGGAACAGAAGGGATTCAGGTAAAAATAACATCTTTTTTCATAGCTAAAGTGTATGGAGTGAAAAAGAGGAAGACTAGATAACAGGAAGGCTGAACGGAGTACAGAAACAGCTGCTTCGTTTAATCCTTTTGAAATGTTGGAACTCACCCTGTGCTGCTCTCTGTTGAGACGGCGCCACACATCTCTCTGCCCAGACTGCGGCTGCGTGGGTAAGCCTGGCAGGACTGACACCTGCCGCTGGAGCAGACACCTTGCACTCTGAGGGCCGCCTCTCTTTCAATCTGCTCCTTAGACTTTGGACTGGCATGGTGGTGGATGTAGTGGTGGTGAATGTGTTTGGTGCTCTGCCTGCTTACTAGGGTCCGGTTGGAGCCTAAGGCTAGAGCAAAGGTGCCTTGGTCTGGAGTTGCTGAAGAACTGGTGGGTCCAGCTCTCACATGGGCTTTGCCTCCAAAGCCTGCACAGGCGTAGGACCGGTTCTCTGGGGAGCTGGAGCGAGGAGAGTGCTGGATGACGGTGGGCGACTGGCAGCCGGGGGTCTTTAGGACCCGGGAAAGGTGCTCATCCAGGATGGCCTGAGGATCCTCCTCAGAGGAGCCAGAGACGATGGCTAAAGGATGTGGGGAGAGCTGCGGAGCTGCAACCGAGATCTCTGAATCTTCCCTTTCCTCCTCCTGCCAAAAAAAAACAAACATAACCATGAAACCCCAGTATCATGGCAGGAAATTAGGCAGACCAGTTACAAGCCGCATCACACCAACCTCCTGAATCTGCTGCAGCCTCTCCTCCAAACAGTTGAAGGTGTCCTGTTTCCTCTTCAAGCTCTCCAGGCGGGAGATCAGCTGGGCGGCAAACTGAGCCGGCTCCAGAGGGACCATCTCCTTCGGAGGACGGTTTGTGCGCTTCGAGGAGGAAGGAAATGGATGAATTAGCATGTGGATGATTCCAAAAATCAAGGCAACACCCTGCGCAGCTTCCAAAGTCATTCCAACTGCCGGCAGTAATAACCACAGCCTAATAACTGGCACCTAAGGCTTGTTTCAGGGGGCGGCGGGCCTGACGTTCAGTCACGCTGGGTTGGGCCTCAGCTGGTTCCCTCTGTCATCATCAGCTAGCCTCCAAAGTCAGCTCACTTCAAAGACTTCCTCGTCAAATATCAAACACTCAGTAGGGGAGGATAGGGTTGTGGAAGGAGGGATAGATTGATGGGAAGCAGTGGCTTTACATCTAGGAATAAAAGCCATAGATCAACAGGGGGTGAAAGGACTCCAGGGAGGATAGGATGAGGGATGAAAAAAAAGAAGTAATGGCAGAAGTTGGGGTGCAGAGATGTGCTCTTTTAGGATAAAATAAAAATGAGGAAGAGATAAAGGTACTTAAAACTGGGCTGGGGGATCAGAAAGGTGGAGGAAATGTATTCCCCTACCCCATCACACACTGGGCACCTTTAAGCTACCATGTTGTGACAGCGAACGTCTGAACACATCTTAAAATATTTGCCTTTTCGGTACAGAGGCTTTCTTTATCGTTTCTCCATTTTTCCTGCTATTTCCATATCTTTGTAGTCAGAATAAAGAAGTAAGACAGAAAAAAAAACATCTGACTGAAAGAGAGGAGAGCTGCTGCATTGTGGGAATGGCAGCCAGATCTGATCTGTGGAGCTTTGTTTAATCCCTCAAACTTCCTGAGTTGGTCTAGAATAAAAGTTTATAGTTAAGTTTAAAGTACTTTGCAAATGTATTCACACCCAGGAAGCATTTTTCCCCACAATTCCACTTTTACAATTACATATTTGAGGCATTTTCAGGATCTATATCCATCTACCCAAACTATGACAGAGCATTATTGAGAGGTAGCCAACAGGTTAATGGTAACTCTGGATGAGCAGCAGAGATCCACAGCTCAGGTGGGAGACTCTGAACTCCATTAATCTTGCTCCTCATGCAGACAAAGCCACAGTGGAATAATAACAAAAGATGATATAGCAACTAAAATGCAAAGTGGGACAGATTGCACTTTGGCGTTGGAAGGTAAGAAAATATGGAAGAGTTGAAGGTGAGTTAGAGAACTTCTGCAAAGTGTTGAATTTGCCTATAGCTCTGCTAAACTTGTCCCCCCTGCCTCAGTACCCTTCTCATATTCTTCTCTCTTCCCAAAAACCTTAAGCTACCAACTCCCGTCTGACCTGCTGAGAGCTCACATGACATGCTCAGACTCTTCCCTCAGATCCTTCACTTTTATGTGGGAGAGATGGAGGGGAGGGGTTAGGGTCTGTGTGTGCGAGGATGGGGATAGGGGAAGAAAAAGGGGGCCATCTCAGTTGGAAGTTGTCACTTTCCCCCGTGCGTTTGCTCCATTCATCTGTAGATCAAAGCGCCGTGTTCGTGCGCGTCACTGCGAGCATCTTTGTGTTTCTGTTGAGGAGCGGGGCTGATTTCAGGGCCCCTGGGATAAGGCGGCAGAGATCTTCCTCATCTCTTCCTTATTCTCCATATTTACAGCATCGGCGGGGAAGAAGGAAAGAAGCGCTGGGGCGATAAACAGCTTAGGGACCTCCCCCTTCCCCCTACAGACTTCAAGGAACCCTAATGGAGGGAGGGGGGTGTAGGTGACACCAAAGGTAGGTGGGGGGCTTTCGTTTGGATTCGTGTGCGAGTGGGAGGCAGGGTCTTTGACGCTACTTCTTCAGATCTTTGCTGGTGTTGTTGAATCGAGAATGCCAAATACAGTTTGCACAGCACTATTCATAGAACTGAGAGAGACCCGGAACGGAGGGTGGTATGGAAATGACACTGTGGGACCCAGGCTCAAAAGACTCCAGATTGAGAGAGTGTGTGCATGCGTCTGTGTACTCACAGGGAAGGCAGGCAAAGAGACTTGGCTGTTCATCCTCATGTTTCGCTGCATCTCTCTCTGTAGCTGCTTCTTGGAGCCCATTTTATACGGAGGAATGCCATCTCTATTGGGGGGGTTACAGGGAGAGATCACAAAAGGTCAATTACCCAATCAGATACATCATTAAAGCCCGCTCGCTAACCAAGAGGACAGATCAAAAGGCACTTCAAGGAAAAGGAAATCTAATTTATTAATTCCTCTTTCAGCCTTAATCTGAGGACCGGAGGTTAACCAAGTCTGAGTAGACTGGACTATCCACTTCAACACGAGGCAGATCGAGGGAGGTTTTATTTGCCCCAGAAATGACACTCATCTCCACCTCCCAACATCCACACCAAGCAGTGTTCTAGTTAGGGGGGGATTTAATAACTAACCTCAAATTAGCTGAGTTCTCTGTCAATCTTTGGCTTCATTAGATTGAAACAACTGTTCACTGCATATTTACAGCAGTTATTTCTACAGCCATTAAGCTTCAAATATGACCCCTGTGAGGAGGAAACAGGACGGAAATAAGCGTTTGGAGCAAAGGACAGATGAACAAATGGAGCATCTAATGAATAGAGTCTGAAATAACACTCAATTCAATGTTTTTTTCAGAGTAATCAATACTGCAAAGGGACCCTGTGTAGTGACAGCATTCCTTTACCCACAGCTGGACTGAGCCGCTCCGCACACCCCTTTAAGAACCTAATGGAGGGAATTTATCAAAGACGCGACGCTAGTTAAATCCGACCATCTCCCTCACGCAAAGATGACCTCAGCTCTGAATCTCTACGTCCGTGTTCAGCAGAAGCTTCCAAACCAATCCGAGGAGCACATTTCTAGTTTTGCTTTGGAACGCCACTGTAAGGCGCATGAGCAAAGCCCCCCCACCCCCCACAACACACACACACACACACACACACACACACACACACAAAACACTCCCAATCTTCATTTGGCAAGCTCTGCCGCAGCCAGCCTCTGATCTCGGCACATCAAAAGGCTGGTTTGTAAGATAAGGTAACGTTTGAAGTCTGCGCAGCTGCATTCCCCAGCGTCCAAGCAAATCCATAAATAAGATATAAGCAAAAATCCCCCCCCTCCTTCTCTCTATCACAACATTCTTTCTCTTCCCAACTGAGCGCCTCCTCCCCCGTAACCATTTTCCTCATTTTTCTACCCCCCCCCGACTTTATCTGCAAATGTTATTCAAATGTTTATGGGTCTTTATAGCTGTGACCTACTGAGACGCAGATATTGTGATCAAGGCCAAAGTGGGCAGGAAATGAGGTGGGAAAGTTGGTGTCCCTGTGGCTCAGGCTTTCAAACTGTTCTGGGCAAAGTACAGCAGAGTCGGACCGTATGTACGTCTTTAACTGCTGTTTAAAAAAAAAAAAAAAAAAAAGCCCCTGTTAAGTGCAAGCCAATGGTTTGTGCTGGATATCAATGCTTTGCGCTGGTATCTTTTACCTGGTCATGGTTGATCTAACAGATATGAACCAAGGAGGAACTTTGGACATAGATTCTTCTACTTTCTGGCCAAGTAGAAAGTCTCTATATAAGGCAGAGACAGCACCTTGTCAGGTAAAGGACACGTGACTCTGCTGTAGGAGAACGAGGCCCAGGGCACGTACATGAAAAGCCTGTGGTCCACGTGGACGGCCTGATTCATGAGAGCCAGTCGGCTCTTCAATCAGCAAACTCAAAGAAGGCTGATCATTAACAAGTTAGGAAACTTCTTTTATGTCAAACAGAAAGTAAAATCCCCCCTTTGATCATATCAGATCAGGATTATTAAGTCAAGATTAAGCAGGAGGTTTTTCCATTTCATATAAACAACTAAAATGAAACTCAACAGGAGCAGGGTCCAGATCTTTGAATGGAAATAATCTTGTGATCAAAATCTGTCTAAGGTTAACCTTACAGGTTGGTTTAAAAAAAAAAAAAAAAAAAAAAAAAAAAAAGAAACACTGCAAATCAATCATTACATCTTTTACTGTTTTTTTTTAAGACTGAAAACCAGCTCTGTCCGAGATCCTTCAGTATAAAGGCCACAGAATGGGATCCAGATAAACCAATAATTATTATTGACCCTACCTACAAATAAATATCCATGCAGTTTGGTTTTCTGCAGGAGAACTGGGTCGGCTGAGGGGCCTAATTGTTGCTTCTCCCCACAAACACTTCATATGTTTGATTAACATTGACTTACACACTGCCGTCAGTCACAGACATGGCGTCATCTGTCAAGGCGTCGCTGGAAACCTCGCTGTCGTTGGTGCTGCTGACAGGGGCGAAGGAGCCCGCATGGTAGGGTTTGATCTGCTCTCCTCTCTTATAGGATCTGAGAAACAACAGAGTCATATTAATACAACTAACCCTAAAAGCTGAGGGTCCTAAATCAAGCCAGGTTGTCTGTTTTTTTCTTCCTGATGTTTAAGAAGGGGGGGGGGGGGGGGGGGGGGGGGATAAAAGAAATGTGTGGCTATAACCTTGGCTGCTAAGAACGGCAAACATGACGAACAGATGTGACAGGCTGGTGTGGGGAGGGTGGGGGGTGCTGGCAAACTTTGTGGGAAAAACTTCTTAAATGTCCCACAGTTTCTCTTTCCACTCTTCTCTTCCACCCTCACTCCCTCTCTCCCCCCCAGCATGCATGCCCCGCTGTGTTTGCATTCTTGCCATGGTACAGGAGAAGGAAAGCAGTGAGGGGGAGGGGGTGGGGAGTAACCCCCCCTTACAAAAAGTTTAGGGTGGAAGCATGGGAGTCTGTCAGAGAGGGAAAGAAAGGGGAGAAAAGGGAAGAAGGGGAGGGTCTTGGTAAGGAGGGAAAGAGACCCAGCATGACTAAAGCTGCAGGCCCCCCAGCTCCAGACTGACCTTCAGAGGGGGCTTGCAAAGAGTCAGGTATTTAACACAGCTGGCCCAGCATTCTTCGCTCCCTGCCTCTCTTTCACCCCCTCATTTATCCTTTCTCCTCCCTCCCTTTCAAGAGCTGCAACCGTCCTCCCTCCCTCCCTCTCTCTCTCTCTGCGCTTCCTTGCCACTCTGAAAGCACGCCTCGTAGTCCCCGTCCCTCAGTTTTCAAAAGGAAGAAAAGATAAAAGTAAAGAAGGCCGGGGATGGGGAGGGGGGTGCAGCAATGGAGGGAATCTGAGGAGAACTCACAAACAACAAGGGGAGGAAAGAGTGAGGGGAGGAGGAGGTTTTGATTCTGTACTGTAGCTGCTGCCATTAAGGGTTTGTTTTGCCTTTTAAGAGAACTTGAGTCAGAAGAGATGAGGAGGAAAGGGACAGCACATGTTGAGGGTTTAAGCCAGAGACAAGTGACTGGATGAAGGTGGAACATGGTGCCACGACAAATGATCATCTGTTGATCATCTGGCTCAAACCTTTCATCGCTAATTGACCCCGTCTTTGAAAGGAAACGTAATAAGCTACAAGCACAAAGCAAAACAGCTGACTGCAGCCTCTGCCTGCGACATCTGGGGTAGCAGGCATATCAAACTGAGCAATAATCTGAAATAATTCATAGATTCAGGCAGTTCTCATTATGAAGACAATATCCAGCTTAAACTGCTTAGTTCCAAACTATCCCAGCTGTTCATAAGTGGTTGACAGAAACTGTTAAAGGCTAATTACGCTTGATGCACGGATATTTAGCCTGGAAAATGAGCCTCTTCTCACAGCGTCAGCAGCTTTTACAGTCTGTGCGGTTTTCCCTCATAGAAATTTTCCCAGGTGCTCCATGCAGAGTTCATACTGAGGGGTATGGAAGCCCAAAATGATGTAACCTTGTGGACACATCAAACATATACCAAGCTCAACACCTTCACTTTCTCTCTAGAAAAAATAAACTCTTCCATTTAGGAATTATTCCAGTCACAAAAAAAAAGAACATTTACCATGTGGACACTTAGAAAGTGTCAACTGTCCTTCTCATTGAATGAATGAATGCTGTTGTAGATGAAAAGCTATGAGTGGAATGTCTGTAAAGCAGCAGACTGCAGGCTAGCTGCATTCCTGCTCCGTAGATCTGAGACATATTTCACCAGATGAATGGATTCCAACCTCCTTATATAACCACATCAGCTGTATATCTATTGGAGCTGAGATGCTAAAGCTAAAAGGGAGTGATGGGGACATTATGTGCTTTATATAAAATAGTGTTAATCATAACAATCAATGCTAGAGATATTCTGAGGACTGACTGAAATAATGAGATTTATAGGTTTAACTTTGGTGACACCCAACATAATCAAATAACATGAAATTTATAATTCAAAAATAGTAAAACTTTGTTGGTTTGCAAATATGTTCCAATACTTAAACAGAAAAACAAACAATTTTCACCTCTTCATTTAAAATAAAACTAATTAAATGGAGTTTGTGTCATTGTTTTCACACCATGAAACAACTTAAACTGTCCTCTACCAACACACATAAACCAGGAGGTTGTAAATACTTTTAAGCACTCTGTAGTGTCTTTCATTTTTTTCTCTCTCTTTGACTTAAACAAACAGAGGAAGAGCTATGAAAACACCTCAATGAAACAACCCTCACTTCAAAGTGACATCTAAAGAGCCACTGGTAGATTTCTATCTCTGCCTAAAGGCTTTTGACAGTGGTTGAACAAGAGGAGACATAGCACAGCAATGTCATCATCTATTATTTGCTGGCTGGGGCCAGAGCCAGCCTCTGCTCTGTGAACTTTTCCTCTGGAAGACGATCAGTCACTCTGCGGAACCATTTCAAAGCTCCGGAAATCCAGGCGAGCGCCAGCAGAGGGCTGCTGCTGGAGACTTTGGGAGAAAGAGGGGTGGGGAGATCTCTGCAAACTTAGGAGAAGGAGGAGGGGGGTGTACACTGGGAGACTAAAAGCCAAGGATAATGTGGTTCTAGAGTGTGCATAATAATAATAATAAAAAAAAAAGGTATTGGACACCTACCTGTATCCCTTCTCCACCATCTCCATGGCCCTCTGCGTAATGGGGACCCTCTGCCCCTTCAGTCCAGCCAGAGCTTTGGCTTTAAAGTCACAGTTCCACTCCTCCTCCTCATTCAGAGTAGGCAGGTATCCACAAACAACTTTCAGGCTGCCCAAAGACCCCGGGCTGATGAGACTCGGGTTCTCTCCACCGGTCCGAACATATTCAAGGTAAATGTCAGAGGTCAGGAACACCTGGTAGGCGTTCTCCTCCATGTTGGTCTGGATCTCCGTCTGCGCCTGGTCAAACATGGCAGAGTCGATGTGCTGCTTCTTGATGTTGTCCCGGATGAAGGTTTTGGTGGCCGGCTTCAGCTGCTTGGCCACCACGCTGTTGTTCTCGATGTAGCGCTTGTAGATCGCTTTGGCGACCCGATGCGTTTTGGTATCCTTCAAGTCCATTTGTCTGAAGCCGTTGCAGGCGAACCAGAAGTCCAAGGCGTCTGCGCTTTTCTCCCGCTCCAGGAAGGTCCTGAACAGAAGGGCGCCGTCCTGATCTCCCAACAGGGAGTGAAGGGACTTTGTCCAGCGGGAGAGAGGGGAGTCCGGGGAGGCGCTTCCCTCCGGCTCCCCGAGACCATCCTCGTTCCTCCGCGCCGAGGAGCCCGGAGAGCCGATCGGAGCGGGTTTGGGGGGTTTCATCACTGCGGATTTGCTGGGGTAACGGGGCGCATCGCCCTCCTCCCCTGGCACAGGGGGTCGAGGGGCATCTTCGCGGAAACTATTGGCGATATGGTCCATAAGCGGGCGGCTCATGTCTCTGAAAGCAGCAGGAGATGGGAGCAAGAGAGAGAGACTGTGCACTGATCGCCTCCTCTGAGCTCCTACTGTAATCTCCTCACTCTCTTATGTCAGCGGGGGGGCTTCTCTCAGGCTGCCCGTCTTCTCTCTGAAACACAAAATATTGATCTAATCACAACCAGATCGGCCCCGATTTCAAAGACACCCAGGAACGCAGTCAAAGCCTTTGCTGGATTTTACAGGAAGAAAGAAAAAAAATCAAAGAGCAGTACAGTGCAAAACTGAAGCAAAAATCGCTGCAGCAGCATTACATAAAGCATTTCTCTCATCAAACTAAAAAAGGAATGGGATTTCCACTTAAAAGCGCAAAGAAACAATAAATCAAGTGATTTCAAAAGAATGCACCCGCACCATTTCAAATAGAGCCAGAACAAGCTTTACGCACAGACATGTCTACTTGCCCTCCCTGTCACTTTTCTAGTTTCTCATTCCCAGGACTCTCAACCTCACTAAAATTAAGCCTCCCCTCCTCTCCAGTACCTGTAGGACATCGATCAACCCAAAAAGATGGAAAAACGTGACCAAAATAGTGAGCTGGAAGTCTAACTCCTTGGGGGTGATCAGGGCGCGGAGCAAACATATTACTTTCACCTGAGATTCCTCACCATGCAGCTATAAATCATCTGGGTTACTTTAATCCGAACATCTGGAGAAAAAAAAAATCCATTCGGTTTCTCTAATGGAGAAAATTACAGCCAAAGTCCCAAGAACATCAAAGTCTCTGATCTTGTGGGGGAGGAATTGCTCAACAAGAGTCGGGTTGGCTACTTCTAAAGGATTTCTCACGATTATTAAAGTCTTAAACCAAACCTTTTTAGAAATACGAGAAAGCTAGTGGCAAACAGCGACGTTGTGGTTATTTTTTAGGATGTAAACTCGAGAAAAGTGGACAGTTTCCTTCCGAACGTTACTTCAAAGGCAGATCAAAGGGAATTCCAATGGGGGCGAGTTTGAGGAGGCAGTCCTCCAACTTACCATCGATCCACGAGTTCGTTTCCCCGCGAATTAAAACTCCACAAAAAGCGCGTATAATCCACATTAATGGCGTCCAAACACGATGAAAATGGAATGGAAAAGAAAAAAGTAATAAAAATAATGTTTCTCTCTTTTTTTCCCCTCCTCCCTGGTGCTCTTAAACTGCCATGCCGCACCGCAGGTCTCTCCTGTAGGCGACTCCAACACCAACTGAACCGAGAGGCTGGAGCAGCGCACTTCAAAGTCAGGAACCGACTGCCTGGTCCTGGCAGCTGCATAAAAAAACAATCACTGCCTTCTTTCTCCGGAATATATATATAAAAAATCTCATACCACAAACATTTAGATATACCTCACTCATCTGGTATGAGGTGCACTTTGAAGATGGTTCGGTTATTTCCTACTGTGTAAGCGTTTTTTTCACGTATCACTGCAGATCGCGAAGTTATAGCAACAGCACAGGACCTTATCAAAGTCAAGCAATCTTGAGCCAACTCCCTGAGGGTTTGGAGCGTCAAAAGTAACTGATCTGCCGCCTCAATAGCATTGTCGTTACAATCCGTCTATTGCCACATATACTTTAAAGACGTTGGGGCTGTTTCCTCTGAAGCACAAAAAGAATTTTATGAATAAACCCTTGAAGAGTTGGTTCATAGGGCTGTAACGTGGAAGGTAGTCATATGTCTTAATTGTTTATATTATTTTGTCTATTTATCTATAATTGCTGTTTTCCTTTTAATTTTTCTTTTTTTTTATCCCTCAAATAATTAAAGTAAAATACTTACACATTGATAAGCTCCTGACTCTCCAATGACAAATCAGAACCACAGTAGTATCATTGCAATGGGATAGAGGGTTTACTTATCATTTGTCTATTATCAAGCTGGAAACGTTATAATGATAAGAAATGACAGATTCCCTTTACATCTCTTTCATTAACCAGGTTATTGAGTAACATGCTGATAACCATAACAGCAAGAGTTCTTGTTACTCCACAGCTCCCACCAGTGGCGGTATGCAAGAACAGCAGAATAAAACATCTGCTCAGCAGAGGAAAGGAATTGCAAAGTCTATGGCAAGCTCTTTGAATATTTATTTCATTCTCTGCAAGCTGGACGCTGCTTAAACATTTTTTCCTAGCATGAGCAAACACTGGGGGAACTATCTTTGGTCCATGCTTAAGTTGACCCCATGCACCATCACCACCACCATCACGGCTCCTTCCCTGACCTTCTCCCCAAAATTCCCCCCAAAATGCATCATTGATTCATCCAGGAGGTCACAAGTTACCCAGAACAACATCTAATACACTGCAGGCCTCACAATGCCTGCAGTGTTTTTGTTAAGGTTGATAATTCAACAACAATAATGAGTCTGGGCCAATAAAGCGCCCATAAAAGAGTTACAAGGTAAAAAAAAAACCCAAAATATTCTAAATATAAAGAACATATAGATTCCTCCTATACATTTGTCAAAACACTTCATAATAATTGGGGACTTTTTCTGTGGACTGATTAGATAAAAGAGAAACTTTCAAAGCATAGCCATTGTGTTACATTTGGGAGAACAGGCGAGCAGTAGCCTAGATTTAAACACAGGGAATTTGCAGATAAAAGATGCTGCAAGACCCCAGATCAAACCTAAGATTGTCAGATACACTTCTAAACATTTTCCACTGAAATTTGTGGGTTAACCCGGGTTTGGTTAACATGCTAACAATGGGCATTTGGCTCCTTTCTTATTGGCAAATAAAAAAAAAGCAGGATATTAGTAGTTGCTCACTGCTCCCTAAGGGATGGGTTAAATGCAGAGTGCAAATTCTGTTGCAGTGAAAAATAAATGTGAAATTCATTTTCTATGATTCTATTTTAAAACAGACTCACATAAAAATAACATCATGCCAGCAGTCAAACATGGGGGGAGTGAAAAGTGATGCTTTGCTGCTTTAGCATCTGGAAGACTTGCAACAATTAGTGGAACCCTGAATTCTGCTCTTCACTAGAAAATCCTAATGGAGAAATTCCGGCCATCAGTTTGTGACCTGCTTAAATACATTTAGGTCACGCAGTAGGACAATGATCCAAAGCACACCAACAAATTCACCTCTGAATGACTAATGTAGAATGCCAAGGTTTTAGGAAAATCTAGTTATTCATCCAGACCCACAACTAGTCATTAGATTCATGCAGCAATTAGTATTTTCCTCATACAACCAGGATGGGTAAGAAAGCTTTTTAATTTTATTGATCATTGAAATAATTCATACAAACTGCCCTTTTGTTTACTTAGGTTATTTCCATGGTGGGAAATATTTATTTAAATATTTGAAATATATAAGCGCTATGTTAAAGCAAATCTTAGTGGGCAAATACTTTTTTTAACAGTCCTTTACAAGCAATACCAGTCCTCCACCTGAATGGACTTGTGTAAAATTATCCTTCTCACAAGGTATACAGCTATATGCTTAGGATTGCTGTAAAGTCAACCACATTATGCAAGCGACTGTAAAAACCCCATAACTTGGAATAATAAGCTGGGTTTCCTTTTAGTATTTTTGACCAGTTTGTGTGATTTGATTGTTTTGACTCTTTCAATTGCCTTGAGATAAAGCCTTGTGAATCGGGGACATATAAATAAACTGAATTTAACAGAAATATATTTTAAGCACAAGTGAATTTATGACTAAATACAAAAAAACCCTCTAATAAAATGATTTAGACATCAAATTAAGAAAAGCGGAACTTGCGGCCCTCAAACATGCCAATGTAAAATACTCGTCCAGTCATACCTGTGTGTCAAAACGTCAACCAGTTGTGTGTTGTAGGGAGCAAGTGCAGAGCCGGTGAGTGAATCTGGAATTTCTATCATATGAAAGACAAAAGAACTTGAATTTCATATTTTCGTAAAAAAAAAAATAAAATGTGGCAAATGTTTTAAATTCTGTTATCATATCCTGTTTTATTTGTACAGTTCGACAAGTCGTGAAATAAAATATATCTGAACTTCTGATGGGGGTGGTGTCCTAAAATACCATTTCAAATCTTTCTGGCATAGGAAAAAGCAGAGATCAGCCTATTTCAAAACCTTTAAGACCCTAAAGCCTCTTTCCCACTGAAAATACAGAGTTAACACATGTTTTTCAAAACAATCTGCATTTGGCTGCCTTCCCATTAGCAAAAAAAGCTGGGTCTAACCCATAGCAGGAAAGCTGCTTGCCCTCCCCCCCCCTACGACTGCGTGTCTGCTGACACCATCACGCTGGGTTAGCGTTGATGATGTCACCAGTGCAAAATAAATCAGGGAAGTAAACAATGATGAACAACATGGACGGGAGCAAGAGGGACGGAAGCAACAAGAGGGTTTGTGTTAAATGTAAAAAGCAAGCTAATTTAATTTCAAATGCATGTTTTCTTTTCTGCAAGACGCTGGAATAAGTGAAAAGTCTGAGAAAATCAAAAACTTTCTCATTCTAAGCTTTAAATAATCCAGACTTTTTAAAGGCTCAAGACCACAAAGAATCTTCTAACTTTATCAACTAAATCTATAACCATCTTGTAAGTGAAATTCCTATACATACTAGGTACAGAATAAATGCTCTACTAATGTCCTCAGATGTTTCTGTACCTCAGTATGTGCAGGAATTATAACTACAAATTGGTATTTTTATCTCAGAAGCACAATATTTGCTAGTTTTACAGCTCTGCATTGTTCGATATTCTTAACTGCTGATAAAACTGAGAGAGCAGAATCTCTAAACTGTCCCAGAGATCCAATACACATCCTTTGATAGTGTGGATGCATGGAGGAGCAGGTATTTTAGAATGTTCCTTAACTCATGTAGTCAGTGTTAATGGTGTTTATTGACCAGCACCAACAGTGTTTTGGATGGATCTTTGCAGCTTTGAAAGGGCCACCACAGGGGAGCCTTTGTTCCATGAATGGAAAGATTCTTAAAAGTGAGTCTGCAGGTACTTCTGGTCCTTTTAGTCTCAGCGGATACAGATCCGAACAGTA